TCTAAACTATTAGATATCTTCAAGGATATTTTACTATACTAATATAACAAAAGTTACAGGGAGTAGCCATATTCTTAATTTACAAATACAGACACAAGTGTGTGTACGTGCTCTTAACTGATGCTATTAAGCGTTGATTTCTCGTTTTTTATCTGCACTTCCATTACATTTAAAGCGCCCTTTTCACGTTTTGCAGGTACATATTCTCGATGAGTATTTCGCATATCGATGTTGGTGTAATAACACGCACGTTTAATTATACTTACACACAATTTATTATGACAAACAAATTTATTACGGTATTATGACAAACAAATTTATTACGGTATTATGACAAACAAATTTATTATGATAGTATGACAAAAAAAACATTAGGAGGTCAGTTGAATCTGCTATCTTGGTTTCAACCTTATGGCATCCTCAGGTGATTTTTAAAGGAATGAAACGCGTCACAAAATCTTTTTTCCAATTTGTCATCCTATTTTGCTAAAAACTGTTTGTTGATATATAAAATCATACAAAATTATATATCATTATATCATATATATATATATATATATATATGTTAAGAAATGGACGAGGTCCGACAATTTATTTATTTATTTATTTAAAATGTCTTTAATAAGTATATATATATATATATATATATATATATATATATATATATATATGAATGAATAAAAGCAAAAAGAACACTTCTTAGGCGACACGTTGAAAAACAAAGGGAGAACCCCACTCTCTCTCCCCATATATATATATATATATATATATATATATATAGTGTATTCTCCCGTTGTGTCCAATGTATGAGGGTCATGCAGCCCAGTTCCTATGAAGAGACAGCCAGACACCAGCACATATGATTTGATTACAACGGTGGAGGCTTTGTGCCGAATATAGAGACCTGGTGCACTACGTGCCACTAGGTTCCCAAACGACCCCTTGCAGGTTTTATTTTAGACCAATCGCCATCCAAGGTTATAGAACCCATTCTGTCCTGAAGGAAGAAGATTTTTTATACCTTTCCCAAAGCTATTAGCACGTAAATGAATTTAATGGATTCGACTGGAATTCGAACATGGCTCTCCGATTCCCCAATCCCAGCTGCTATCCACTACTCCACCGTGCCTCTCTCTCTTCTTTTCTCTCTCTCTCTCTTTGTCTGTCAGTCTGACTCTCTCTCTCTGTCTGTCAGTCTGACACACTGTCTCTCTCTCTCTCTCTCTCTCTCTCTATATATATATATATATATATATATATATATATATATATATATATATATATATATATATATATATATATATATATATGTATGTATGTATGTATGTATAACTTAGAGCACAGTTGGTGCTGCTGGTAATACAATATTTCTCGATCTATAATAACAGATCTAAAATTTATTCTCATAATGAATATGAATTTTTTTGTTCCTGAGACACACACACACACAATTGCACACACACACAATTGCACACACACACACTCATATATATATATATATATATATATATATATATATATATATGTGTGTGTGTGTGTGTGTGTGTGTGTGTGTGTGTGTGTGTGTGTGTGTGTGTGTGTGTGTGTGTGTGTACTTATACTCTGTACTTCTTGACTTAGACTCTGAAATTTTATTTACTATTTAATTTTGTACGTCAACAGGAGTAGATAGGTTCGCCCTAACGCCCAGTTCACCTCCTCTCTCTTTCAACAGATGCACAGCTTCATCCCTTGTTTTCTGCTTAGGGTTACATTTCTAATTCCTTCTAAAGTCTTTTTTTACCCTTTCTCTTCCAGCCGCTCCTTACGTCTTAATGGCATTATTGCCATGCTTGGGTTCAATGGAATTATATATATATATATATATATATATATTTTTCATTTAAAATTAAATTTCACATTTGTATAATCTCTTCATGTTTTGCCGACTAGAAACATTTTGAATGTTTTCTCAGAGTGTTATCAGCACGTCTATTTTTCAAATTATTTTTAATGATCCTGTTTTTGAACCAAACTCTTTTTTGTCGGATAAAAGCCGGTCAGAAAACAGGAAGTTGTAGTAGCACTAGGGGAAATGAAGTTACCGAAAAGGTAGCTGTCCGTCCTATAATAGTAGCCGTAGCAGTTTAAACAAAGATGAATTTCTCTGACGGTAGTCAGAGAGATCATTTTTCAAGTCCATACACAAGAATCCATATATTACTTACTGCATCTCTGCATGCAGAACGAATGATTTGTCTTAGAGGGTATAAATTCGTAGCCATATTTTAGTAGTATACAATTAATCATAATGGATCTTTACTTGGGAGAGCGTGTTATGCAAGCCTTCTCGCCGTTTCTAATGCTTTCTTTACACGGTCGATATTCTATCATTATTGTAGTTTTATTTTAGAAAAATTACAAAAATATTCACTGAATCTTTTTCATACAAGATTGCTTTATATATGTTTATATCTAATGTTCTCACAGAAGGTTATATATGGAGCCCTGAATGAATTTTTAAACTATAAAGGGGTCTGAAACTAGATTGGGATATTGCACTATAATAAGTTTGTTGACATATTCTGGATATCATCAGCGGATACTTTTAATAAATAATTATTTATTATATTTTTTTAGGACATATCTCGTTTTCTGGTCAAGATAAAACTTAAAATAAAATAATATTAAAATATATACTGGTTAATAAAATTTTATTATAAATTTTTAATTTTAATTCTATATATATCTTTAAAGCCTAAATAATATTTTATATTTTAAGATTATTTTTAGTCAGTTATGTGCTATGCGTGATACACGAGTAGGCGATCATGTATCTTTCGATGCATGACGGACGAGGCAGATTTTTTTCCCGCAGTAGGTTGCCATTTCTTTCTGCGGTAGACCAGTTGCCATACAGGGCATTTACCCATAGAAGAGAAGAAGAGGACTGATAACTTTCCCAAGAGTATTTGACACATAAGTGAATGTAATAGAATTCGAACTCGGCTCTTCGATTCCTCAATACGAGCCGCTATCCATTATTCCACCGTGGCTCCTTATACGCATACATATAAATATATATATATATATATATATATATAATTATTTATTTAAAATTATATGATTCCAACGCTACATAAGAGTTCTCATGTTTCAAAACAAGAGCCGAAACCTTCAATATAATTATTTGAATTAAAGTACTAAGCTCTGTTGCATCTTCAAACGAGTTCTTTCTTATTTTCTATATATTTTATACACACACACACACACACACACACATATATATATATATAAGAAGGTTTTATATATATATATATACATATATATATATATATATAAACCTTCTCATATATATCTGTGTATATATATATATATATATATATATATATATATATATAAGGCTTATTATATATATATATATATATAAACCTTCTCATATATATATATATCTGTGTATATATATATGTGTGTGTGTGTGTGTGTGTGCGTGTGTGTGTGTTTGTGTGTGCATATATATATATATATATATTTTAAGATTATTTTTCTAAATAATATTATCATTTGAATTATATGCCTTCACTATTTTCTTTATATATACCTGATGTATTTTCTTACTGTGATTTTATTTTATTTTTCTGCATTTTACTTTCCCATTTTCTTGCATACAAAATCTCATTGGTCATTTTCTATGCGTAGCTGGAATGCGGGACAAGGTCGAAAGATTGTGGCACCCAGTGAGGATCGAACTCACTACTCAGTCGTAATTGTTCTAGCGAGACAAGCTTGCTAACCGCCTCGAGGTGCCTATTGTGATTTTTCAAGCGTGGCTTAGATGTGGCACAAGGCCGAAAGTAGGGGACACCCAGTGAGGATCGAACTCACTACTCAGTTGTTATTGTTCTAGCGAGACAAGCTTGTTAATCATTACACCACGTCGAGGTACACCATGATTTTCCAAGCGTAGCTTAGATGTGTCACGTGGGCGATGTTCGAACTCACTAGTCTGTCGTTACTGTTCTAGCGAGACACCCTTGTTAACCATTACACCACGTCAATGCGCCCAGATCATTTTCTAAGCGTTGCTGAGATGTGGGACACGGTCGAAAGTTTGTGGCACCCAGTGAGGATCGAACTCACTACTCAGTCGTAATTGATCTAGCCAGACAAGCTTGCTGACAGTTACATCACGTCGAAGTGCATTGATTTGTTCAGATATATCTATTTTCAATTGCATTACACTATTTACGTAGTTCGGACTATCATCCTCATCTTTGTTGCCATATTTATCACAACGTTTCGGCCGTTGTACGCTCCGGCTTTCTTCAGGTGGTTGGAATGCCGAACTGAACCCTTTATTTCGCTCGCTGGGGTAGACTGTTCTAGTTCCACGTGCCATGTTTTAAATGGATGTCAGTTATCATTTATCTGTTAATTTCTCTTTCCAAATTCTCCACCACCTTAGCCACACTCTTTGGATCCGGTCAATGCATCTAACTAACGCCTCTCTCCACTGTGCCATTCCAACCACCTGAAGAAGGCCGGAGCGTACAACGCCCCGAAACGTTGTGATAAATATGGCAACAAAGATGAGGATGATAGTCCGAACAATGGAAATAGTGTACATAATACCTCATCTCAGAAATATTGACAGATATTTAATTACATTCAGTGTTAAATTCCCCCCCCCAATTCTTATTATCCATTATTATTAGTATTTTTTAAGTAGTGATGTTACCATGGTAACGATTTTTCCTTATTTTTATTTATTTATTTTTTTTTTCAAAACTTACTGCATGAAACGTTGACAGCAAAATAACATTTTAAATATGCACCTGGTTTTTACATATTCCATCTGACATACTTTGGATGCTTCATATCAATCGTTTTATCGCTTTTCTTAATTTAAAGGTTAAACTTCGATTGTTCGAATTTTGTTTTTTTGATTGTTTCATAGATTTCCGGATCATTGAGTTAAAACAGTAAGTCCTTGATTAGAACACAAAAGATGATTTTGCTGTATGAACTTGAGAAAAGTCCCTTTTTTTCTTTGCTGTGCGAATGATGATAACAGACGACACTTAGCCGTTTGTTCTTTGCATCGTTGTAAAATTTAAGTCAGGCATTTTGGCTTTTAATTGAATACAATAGTCCTTTTTTTTTCTTAAATAATGCATCAAGTTGATGATAAATAATGTAGAAGACAAGCAGCAGTAAAAAAAAAAAGAATTCATTCGAATTCTTGCGGTTCTCAAGTCAGCTGTACTTTTGATAACAGTATTAAAAGTTGCAATAGGAAAATTACATATTGTAGGGATTATTGTAGTTAAAACAGCGCAACAGGCTGATAATTCGTTACGGAGATTATTCAGCTCATAAATTAGGCTTTTTTTTTTTTTTTTATTAATTTCCCTTCTTCGATCTCTCTATCTTCAACCACTTACAATGTGTATAGTAAAATTATATTTTCGGTAAATGTGACAAAAGAGTTAATTTTTAAACGACTGCAGATACTTATCAACAATGGCGTTCATAATGACGTTATTCAAGAGCTAAAGAAGACATAATAAAGAAAAAAATCAAACAAAATTATAAGACACAATAATATCAAGCATAATTCCGAAAATATAAACTCCACCTCGAAAATCAAATGCAAACGTTTCGTTCAAAGAAGGACGGTGAACAAGCAGCAATGACACTTGGGTCATCGTTACCTTAGTGGATTTTCAACTTGTTGCCAGAGGCTTAACGCTATGAAAGTGACTTTGTACCTGTTAATATCAGCGCGCACACACACGCGCACACACTCACTCACACACACACTCACATACACTCACACTCACGCAAACACACTCAGACACACTCACACGTACACACGCACACTTACACACATTCACACACACTCACTCACACACACAAATTCACACTCACTCACACACACACACACACACACCCAGACACACACACACACTCATACACACATACGCACACTCACTCACACACACACATTCATACTCAGACATACACACACGCACACACACACTCACACGCACACACCCAGACACGCACACACACACACACATACGCACACTCACTCACACACACACTCACACCCAGACATACACACGCGCACACACACACTCACACGCACACACAACGTGTTGCGCCCTATATGATAATTTGCTTTGTTCTGATCTTGTTAAATAAGAATTAGTATTTATATTAGATTGTTATAAAATTATAAACCTGTCGATGAAGTACCGTTGTTTAGAAACAAAGCCAGCTTAGCGGTTTCAATTTCCGTTAACAGACCGGAGTATTTGTTTTTAACGAATATTAAAACTGTATCCGTTCTCTCACTTTAGGAAGAGACGGACCAGATCAGCAATTTAAATTAGGATTTTTTTCCCAACCTGACACCATACCGCCGCTTGTATATATATATATATATTGTTGTCTTTACTATATATCTCTCTCTCTCTCTCTCTCTCTCTCTCTCTCTATATATATATATATATATATATATATATATGACGTCACACATTATGAAATGGACAAAGTCCGACAATGATTTTAAGATATTTTTTATGTTTATACATTCTTTTTTATCGTCTTTACCATATATATATAGATCTCTCTCTCTCTCTCTCTCCGACGTCACACATTATGAAATTTCCGACAATGATTTTAAGACATTTTTTTATGTTTATACATTCTTTTTATAGATAAAAATATACATTCAACACCATCACTTGATAAGACATCAGAAGTGTTGAAACAAAATGGCTATTTTTGTAGTTATTTTATAACATATTTATGTTATAACTTTCGAATAAATTATATTTGCTCTACTCTATATTGAGCACTCTTTTAAGAATAGTATTTGTTGGTTATTGGAATTTATTCCGTATACACCCATCTTATACTTGGATATAATAATAATAATAATAATAATAATAATATATATATATATATATATATATATATATATATATATATATATATATATATATATAAAAATAAATAATTTTCTACTTTTTTTCCAACCTGATGGTAGAATGATGGTTAGTATGGCAGGGTTAGAAATAGTGACCCATTGCACCTTCTTCGGCCAACGTTTTCCACTGGTATAACTAAAACAATTATATTCAACCAATTACTAGATTTACTGCCAGGAAAATTGTTTCACTGTGTCATGCTAGACAATTTCTTTCTCGTCAGACACATTTATAAGTCTATCATTAGTTCATGTATTGAATATTACCGCTACATCTGGTCTGCTCCTTCTAGTAAATATTTAAGAGATTCTTGATAAAACCCAAGGAACCTGCAATGGTATTGATCCTGACCTGGCATCTCGGCTCCAGTCATTTTCCTACCGCCATAATACAGCTTGCCTGTGCCTTTTCTATAAATATGTTCAGGATAATTGTTCTGTTGAGCTTTTCTCATTGATGCATAGACTTCATGAATTTAAGTACATTACTAGATTGGCGGTAAGGTGTCATCATTTTATTGTTG